TCTCTCTCTCTCTCTCTCTCTCTCTCTCTCTCTCTCTCTCTCTCTCTCTCTCTCTCTCTCTCTCTCTGACCGTCTTTTAACCACTTTTGCCCTCAAAAAGACAATGATTTGCTGACTTGTAGTGCCCTCCTGCTTTTGTGGGCGCGGGTCAAAGTAGCCATTCAAGGACGGATATCCAATCAACCCGTCATGGGAGATTGCATCGTCGCTGCCGGAATACCTGCCGTGGGACCGAGTCAAGGACCCGGCGCGGCGGACGTCGTCCAAGATGCCGCGGGTCCGGCTCCTCGTCCACAAGCCGGCTGTGCGGGTGAGCTACGACACGGTGCGGGACCTGGTGCCGCGCCTCTGGGACGAAGTAGAGGGCGGCGACGAGGAGGCGGTGGCCGGCGGAGGAGATGCGCCACCATCCGATAATGGCGGCAAGAGCCCGAGACAAAGAGGCTACGACCTGGCGCTGCACATTGGCATGGCCGGCCCGCCGGTGCGCTACTCCATTGAGCGCCGTGGACACCGAGACGGGTATCGGCATCGTGATGTCGACGGCAAGTATCTCGATGACGAAAAGAGGCGCGAACGTGAGGGCGACGACTGGATCTGGCACGGTGTGCCCGACGAGCTCCTGACCGATCTTGATATCGAGGACATCTATAAAAGATGGGTTAGACGGAGTCCGGTACGTCAATTTTTGTTGCTCATGAAATCTCCATGTGTAGCATCCTTTCCGCAACTTACAATCGTGATGATGAGAAACCCGTATACTTTTGTTACTGACACAACACGTAGGACGGTGGCGAAAGCGGGCCAGAGCTCCGCATCTCCGAGGATCCTGGGCACTACCTTTGCGATTTCATCTACTTTACGAGTTTGGCTCATCTGTATAAACAGCATCGGACGCGGAATGTTCTCTTTCTGCACGTGCCGGCATCAGGGACCGCTGAATCAGTACAGACGGGCACCGAGCTCGCCACGCAGCTGCTGCGAGCCATGGTGGAGAGCGAAGTTGAGAGGCGATCCAAGGCTGATGGAGCGCCTGGCTCCACCCCATAGTGGTTTAATGGCATAGCTAGGCATTTGTGATATACTGTCATTATATAGCTTGCATATGGATATAGGTTGCTATAAGCGGCAAAGGGAATGAAGTAGGAGATGGGGGAAATGCTGGTAACGTCCGCTGTTGCGGCATGTTTGTAAGAATTTGACTAGGTCAAGCATTTACGATTACAGTGACTCGACTCTGAAATATTTCTATATTGACCGAAACCGCAGAAAATCGTGACGAGGCTATGAATAGACTTCTAGACGTGGCTGCATCTCATCAAGACTCGAATAATGCCTAAGCCGGCAACGTCACAATCTCATCAACAAATGCAAATTCATATTTCCGATGATATGTATATTCTCATTTTGCGAAGGGGGGAAAGCTGGTTCAAGAAAATCCTGGTATCTACATGAACGGGTTGTTGATGACACCCTTCTAAGGCTGGCCTCGAACGAGTTCAAGATTGATGAAGCAAGATATCAAGATGACTTTACGGACGACAGTACCAACCTTCCGAATGGATGAAGGCTGGTCTTGATTGCATTAGTCGAATGTTTTTAGATTAATGTGTAGCATACTGGTAAATCTCTATCATTTCCAACTTCAGTGATGGATAAAACCACCAATATCCATTGTCGTTTTGTCTGGATCATCCGTGACCATAGGGCAAGACGCCCATTCTTAGACATTCACGTACATATATGAGACTATTTTTCTCCCCCCTCTCCATATCTTCGCTTATGTATCATTACGAGTGCTAGTATATGAAATTCAAGCATAAGAGAAGCAGCATAGATCTTCCTGTCCATCGGGCATATGTTCGTCATGGCTAATCGGCGATATCGGGAGTTGTGGTCGTTATTCGCCGACCTTTAGCTCCCCGCATAGGGACCGTTCATCATTCCCGGGCTTTGCCAGTGCAGCAACCAAATGGTCGGCGACTGGAGGGGGGCGGATGCGATAGCCTAGACGGGGCGCTAATTGATAAAAAACCACTGCTATCTCCAGTTGGTTAGCATACCAACGCTCTAGAAATTCCACCGTTTATTTTAAAGGATCAACTTGATTTTCTACTTGATTTGTCACTTGACCACGATCCCATACATCTGCCACTTCCCGTTCTTGTCATCAAAATAAGCAAGCAAACTCGGCTCACCGCAGGCAAAATGTGTATGAAGGTCAACTGCAGCACTTGCAGTACGTACATCTCGTATTGACGGTTGGGAGAGTGATCCTGTACGGACAGTCTCCCCGTCTTCCTTTTGCTCCCTTTACTCCTTCTTGCTGACCATTTTCAAACCCTAGACAAAGCCACCTGGTATGGCTGCGGCGCACACATTCCCAGTGTTTTGGACAACATCTCCGAGGACCAGTGGTGCACTTGTGACCCCAAGGTCGAGATGAACGGCAAGAAATACCCGCCCAAGGCGAAATGAGGCTTGAAAAAGTCGAAAGACTGGGCTTGGTAGGATTGATCACGGGGGGTGTGGGTGATTTTCCCACTTCCTAATCGGGAGGCGTACATGTCTGTTTCGGAACCCTTCCAAGTCGTCTTTGGCTGTTGAGGGAGTGCCCCAAATGGCCTGCGCAAATACCAACTCTTGAATATACGTACAGGTCTTCTCCAATCCATACATCACTGAGGGTGTGTAGAAGCCAGTCGAGAGTGACTCTATGACCTTCATCTGCAATACTTTTGGGCATGCATGTGATTACAATACTCTGAAACTCTCAATTGGATGGTCCCATCTGTGTGACTGACTGACTGACTGACTGACTCTAACCTTGAAACCGTGACAGGTTCGTCCCAAGAATAATCCTATAGGATCCCGTCAGCCCTGAGATCCTGACCCCGTCATCCCATGTTCCGTTTACCATGCGCGTAAAGAGCGTAGACATTTTTATCAACTCATGTCTTGTAGAACAGCAGTACAGTCTGTCGGCATCGCCCATGCCAGACTGTGGTTGGCTCAAGCCCACCAAACAATTCCATTTCAAACTCTCTGCGACTTGCGCCAGCCAGCACGGTGATACTGATTAGGCCAAGCGACCTCGACCCCGAGGTGGTGGGCAACGCGCAGGGGGAACTCGGGCTCACGCAGGAGCTGACGCGCCAGCAGCACGAGATCCGCCTGAGTCTTTTGGCCGCCGGTATCCTCTTGTTCGACCTCAATGGTACCGCAGCTGGGGCGGCGGTCGCGCTGGGCCTGGGCGTCGAGGTCCTGCTCCTGGACAATGGACCGCGCCATTTCGGCGTCGGTGATGAGGCCCACGGCGCCGATGAGCAAGGTCTGCTGCCCGTCCTTTTTCACCGCGTCGCGGATCGACCCCGCTAGGTTGACCTGATAGTACGGGTTGATCTCAATCTTTTGGTGGGCATTGTTGCCGCCCGAGCTCACGTCGAGCAGGTCCACGCCGACGCCGGGCAGCAGCTTGGCCAGCTTGATGCTGTCCTGGAGCGTCCAGCTCGGCTCGCCGGCGTACTCCATCCACTCGGTGGCCGAGATGCGGAGGAAGAGCGGCATGGACTCTGGGATTACGGACCGGATCACCTTGATAATCTCAAAGAGGAACCGGGTCCGGTTCTCAAAGCTGCCGCCGTACTCGTCGGTACGCTTGTTGGACAGGGGCGACATGAAGGCATTGATGAGGTAGCCATGGGCGCCATGGATCTCGATCACGTCGAACCCGGCATCAACAGCCCTCTTGGCCGCGTCGCCAAACGCCTGCACGACCGCCGCAATGTCCTCCTTGGTCATCTCCCGGGGCTCGGGAAACCCGTCGCTAAACTTGCCCGGGGTGGGCGCCCAGACGTTGTCGGGCCAGCCGCCGAGCTCCTTGGTCGCCGTCGCGCTGCTGCCCCCTTGCCGGGGCGCAATCCACGGCGCCACGGTGCTCGCCTTGCGGCCGGCGTGGGCGAGCTGGATCCCCATCTTTTGGCCCTGCGCGTGGGCAAAAGTCACGATGCGGCGCAGGGGCCCCATCTGGCTGTCCTTCCAAATGCCCGAGTCCTCGGGGGTGATGCGGCCGTTGGCCATGACGGCCGAGGCCTCGACTATGGTCAGGGCGTTGCCGCGCAGGACAAACTGCGACAGGTGGGCAAAGTGCCAGTCCGTGTGGTGTCCGTCCTCGGCCGAGTACTGGCACATGGGAGACACGACGAAGCGGTTCTGCAGCGTCATGCCCCGGATCTTGAGCGGCTGGAACAGCGTCGGCGCCGACTCCGGGTGCAAGGCCGTCCCTGCCGGTGGGTCTTGGGCCGGGGTGAAATACGGCGTGCCGGCAGCCGGGATGTTCTCCAGTGGTGACTTGGTCATGGTCTTTTTGCAATGGGTCTGGCCAGGGTCCTGTGCAATCTGAAACCCGGACGAGATAGATCCGATCAGGGATCAAGACGTCCCACAGTCAAGTGAGTGGGAACTCGAGGTACTAGACTATGAGGATAATGGGCGGAAAGCCAAGCGATTGTCCCGGTGCTCAGACGATTAGAGTTGTCTTGGCGTGCCTGAGAGAAATTGAACCGACTGGGGGTTCGTGCAACAAGGTGAGGGGAGATATGGGACAATGTGGGTTCAACTTATAGATGCGTGGGTAAATCGGACAATTTTGGTACGAAGAAACTGCTGGCTATAGCAAGAGTTCTTCTCATGGATGGGATTGCTGGCTAACTGTATGTTTCAAGAGGAGGATGACAAGCGGGGCAGAGATGTTTTATACTGTGGACTTTACATCATACTTTACGGATGGCTCTGGTGGTGGCTTGAAATGTGCAACTTTGGTTGAACTATGTCAAGTTCAGCCTCATGAAGAGCAATGATTTGAAATGGACATGTTTTCTGTGCCAGTGTGGCATTTCCATGCCGTGATAATGCAATTGGCTGATTAATGCCACTTGCCACGCGGGTCTACTTGATGCCATTCAATGGTCAATGGTTTCTTGGCTGGTTTTACAGCCTCTCCAGCCTGCCTTGTATATGCCCCGATCGCCGGAATGATTCGCGCTGCTTTCAAAGAGGGGTTGTGGCCTGTGAGTGAGTGAGCGTGTTGCATACCTACCTTCTATACGGGCATTGTGTCGGCTGTACTTTCAGCCGTCAAAGCTATTGTTTGACATATACGAACTCAAGAGGATGTGCGGGAGCCTAATGGTAGCTTGCCCGTTCGCTTAATCAGCTCCCCAAAGACATCGGGAGAAGCCGGTTCCATTGCTGGGGCTCAATATTCCCCGGGACTTTTTTTTTTACTCTAGGTCAACCTATCTATCAAAAGTTGCCTTTGCTATCTCTTAGCTGCAGTGCTTGCAGATATAATAGTGATTGCGGCACCGGCAGCACATAATCTGTACATTAGTAACGACTTCTCGACTTGACTGTTATATCCATTGATCGCCAGATCACCAAAACAATTCTTTTGACGTGTCGAAGATCCGACCTCGTGATGCAGTGGTTATTAGTAACGACATTGCATGAGCGATCCCGAGACGGCAGAGACCCTTAGAATACCATGTACCATTGTACTGTGCCTCTCTCTCTCTC